CCCGCCCCGCCCCCTCCGCCCCGCGCCGCCCCGCTGCCGCCGCCGGCCCCCCGGCCCCCCAGCTGCTGCGCAGTCCGGTCCGACGCCACGGCGATGTCGATGGCCAGCCCCCAGCCGTCGCACTTCATCAGTGAGAACACGTCCACGAACTCCTGGACTGCGCAGTCTGGCGGCGGCGCGCCGGGCGCGTAAATCGGGAACGCGTGGTGCAGCAGCGGGTTGCGGCCGCGCGGCATGCGGCAGGTGATGTGGAAGGCGAGGGTCACCATCGGGAGGTGGAAGGCCGGGAGCGCCAGCAGCGGCTCGCCTGCAGAGGCACGGCGGGGGGGGGGAGGGAGGGAGATGGGGAGGCTTTGAACGTGCGGCCGTGAGGGCAGCAGCTGTGACGCAGGCCAAGCTCGGGCACGATCCATCCATTGCGCCACCCCCTCCCCCGCTTCAGACCCGAGGTCCTTGACAAGCAGGCCGCGCTCCCGCGAAGCTCAGAGCCAGCCGGCCGCGGCCGCGCGCCCACCTCTCCCGCAGTCCGGCCCCGCGCCGTGCGCGATCGCGCTCATGTGCGTCGCGTTCACATCGATGCGCCCCGCAGCCACCGACGCGCCGAGCGTCGCCGCCGTCAGAACGATCCGCGGGTCGTGCGGACCCACATGGGGGCTCTCCGCGTTGGCCATGACCGCCGTCAGGCCACGAAGCCGCACGGCCGCCGTGCCGCGCCACATGTAGCGCATCATGTCCCACCACGGTAGCGGGACGGCGGCGCCGGGCGGCGGGAGGGAGCCGTCGGGCAGGATCGCGTTTGGGACGGTCAGGCGCTTGAACGCGCCGTTGAGCTGGCCAAAGGCGGCCTCCAGTCCTGGGCAGAAGCCGCCCTGCACCTCTTCAAGCTCGGCGCGGAGGTCGGTGTACATCTGGTGTGTGCCCATGTGCGTGCGTGTGTGTGAGTGTATGCGTGTGTGCATGTGTGTGCGTGTGTGTGTGTGCACGCGTGCGTGCGCATGTGTGTGTGTGTGTGTGCATGTGTTTGTGTGTGTGTGTGTGTGTGCGTGTGCGCGTGCACGCAGGTGTGTGTGTGTGTGGAAAAGGGTGGGGTGGAGTGGTGGGCGTGAGGGGGCCAAATCGAGTCTGAGTCAACGCAGGACCAGGGCGTGCAGGGGGGTGCGGTGTGTAGTTGAGGGTGGTGGGTATTGAGCAGGAGGGTGGTAATGGGAAGATGAAGGGCGCCAAGGCTGGCTTCACAATGGGGACAGACGGGGTAACGCAGTGATGAATGCTTCCTGAAGCTGTGGCCGACGGGCGAAACGCGAGGCACGTAAAGCACAAAAGCGTGGATGACAGGAGGCAAGTGCCAGCCTCTTGCTGCACCACGAACAATTGCAGACAGACGGGCGCACAGCCCCGCGACCCCCCGTGCTCTGCTTTGCGGCGGGAGCCGCGCATGTATGCGCACCTTCATGGGCGGCCGCGTGCCCTTCACGGCGACGGGCACGTCTGCCGCGTGCCAGGCCCCCACCCTGAACCTCATCGGCGTGGACTGCGGCGCCGCGCACGACTGGCGCGCGCGGATGAGGAAGCCGCACGCCCCCAGACTGCCGATGCTTGCGGCCATCTGGCGGTTGGACGGTGGTTGAGTGGCGGTTGGATGGCGGTTCGGCGGCGGGTGGGCGGCGGTTCGGCGGCAGTTGGATGGCGGTTCGACGGCGGGTGGGCGGCGCGTTGATTGAGGCGGAAGCAGACCAAGCACATAGCTGGGGAGGGCGGGGTGCTGTCCAGGTGCCACTCAGCATGAGCGCCTGGCGAGCTCGTGCGTGATGGCGGCTGGTGTGAGCACGCTGGCAGGCACCTAAAAGGCCGCCGCGTCCACAGACCCATCAAGCCTGAAGCCCAAGGCTTGCCTCAGGCCCGCAGCCCACGGCTGCAAGCGCGAGGGCACCACAGCATGCGCGCCACAACATCAGCCCCCCGCCAGCTGGCTGATCCTGCCAAAGGGTCGACTAATTCGAGGCGCGACAAACGGCGACGACGGCGGCCGCCTCACCTCCTCCGCGCCCCCAAAGTGCGCCGTGATGTCGGTAAGCCCGACATCCAGGCTCAGCGGCTGGCTGCGCTCCAGCCCCACCCCCTGGCTGGGCGGGTCCAGCCGCACCACGTTGCCCGCGGCGACGGCGTCGTTGTGGGCGCAGGGCAGGCAGATGATGACCACGGCCTCCGCCCGCTCGACTGCCACGTGCATGAGGGCCGCGTTGTGGTGCAGGGGGTCCTGCGCCGCGGCCTTGATCTCGGCGCACCTTGGTTGGGGGAGTCGTGCAGGGGGAGCGAGCACAGGCGCGTGTGGCGTTAGCGCGGGACAGGCTGGGGGTGCGGCAGCTGGCTGCCCAAGCAGGGGCGCCCCTTCTGCATCAGCCAGACCCCTCATGTTCACAAGTTGTTCAATCCCCCCCACTAAAGTCCACCCCTGCTGCAAGTCAAGTGATCACGACACGCGTGATACGACACGAACATGCTGACATGCGTACCCCCAATTGCCTGCACAAACAGGGGCAGCCGCAGGCGCCCGGCGGCTGCGCACCTGGCCTTGTACATAGCGGCCATGTCCCTGTGCATCTGACTCATCGCCAGATCATACTCCTCGGGCGGCTCCGGCCCCGGGGGCCCAGCCGGCGCAGGCCCCGCCGCCGCCGCGCCGGCCGCCGCGGCGACCGCGGCCGCCGCCAGGCCGGCGAGCGCGGCGGAGGAGGCGCTCTCAGGCAGCCGGGCCGCGAGGGCGTCGCGGCTCTCCAGGGCGACCTGCATCGAGGGAGGACGGCGTCACCAGACGGGAGCAGGCAGCGCGGCGCGGCAGGGGCGAGGGCTGAGCTGATGCCGCGCGGCCGTTGCAAAAGAGCACATATCAAGGCTGCGCGCTTGAGCCACAGGTAGGTCCAGGCCTGACACCACCTGGGCGCCCCCGGCAGCAGAGCAGGTCCTCAGCGTCAACATCACTGGATTTTCAAAACCCCACCTCGTCGTCATCCGATGAGTCATCATCCACGCTGTCATCGTCCTCGTGACTCGCCACGCCCGCGCCGCCGCCGCCCGCGTCGCCGCCGCTGCGGCTGTTGCGCTTGCTCAGCGCCACGCTGCTGACGAGCTGCTCTGCCAGGTGGCGCTGCGCCGCCGCGGCGGCCAGCGCGGGGCCGTGCAGCGCCATCCACCGCTCCAGCGGGTGCTGCTCCATCGCAAACACCACCTGCCCCACATCGGCAATCAGCTCCACATACGCCGGCTTGGGCCGCTTCGGCTTCAGGAGCGCCAGCTGCGGCTTTTGGGCGCCCCGCCGCGGCTTGAGCGCGGCGACGGCGCTTTGCAGCGCGGCCGCGTGCGCCCGCGCGACCTGTTTGACCGCCTTTGACCAGGTCTCCGCGACGATGATGAGGCGGCCGACGGACTGGTCGTGGGGCACGCGGAACGCCGCTGACTCAGCAAAGACGTCCAGGCTGAGGATGCCGCCCGCCGCGGCCGCCGCGGCGGCCTCTGGGGTGCTGGGGGCCGCGGCTGCAGGGTCAGACGCGACATCCGCGGCGCTCGGCGGCGGCGGCTGCGCGCCCGCGCCCTGCGCCGGCGGCGCGAGGTACACGGCGGCCGCGGGGACGTGGCAGCGCTCGCGCGCGGCGGCCTGCCGCGCCTCCTGCCGGCGCCGCGACGCGGGGTCCCGGGCCGCGCTCGGACGGCGGCTGCCGAGGCTCGCCGATGGTAAAGCGTCGTCGATGAAGCCGGCGCCCTGCAGGCCGCCGCCCTCGTACACACGCACGCTCTCCATCGAAGCCCACGACCCGTGGTGGCGCTGCGCCTGGGGAGCCCCCGCCGCCGCCGCCGCCGCCCCGCCACGCATGCCGCCGAGCAACGGTGCGAACGACAGCTCGCCGCCGGCGTCGAACCCGGGCTCAGGCGACCCCGCGCCGCCGCCGCGGCCCGGCGACCACGAATCGAGCGACGTGGCCTGCTGCGCCGGCACGCCGGCCGCGCCGAGCGGCTGCGCGAGCAGCGGGGCGCGCAGCAGGCCGACGGACAGGTGCGTGACTGTGGCCACGTCGCGGCCGTTCATGCCGGCCGCCAGGCGCTCGATCACGGCCTGCTCCAGGAAGCTGCTCGCCTTGAGCAGCTCAATGTTCACAAAGACAGAGTCGCTCTCGCAAACATCGGCGGAAACAGACACGTCCTGCAGGCGCCCCTCAAAGTGCAGCGGCCGGACCCGGTCACGGCGCGATGGCGACGTGGCAGGGGAGAGGGCCGCGGGCGCCGCGCCGCCGTCGCGGGCGGCGGCGGACGTCGAGGCGCGCGGCGGCAGCCCCGCTGGCGGGCGCTGCTGCTGCTGCGGCTGCTCCGAGGGGGCATCGCCAAATGTCCGTGCAGCAGGCAGCGAACTGTCGACCGTGCCCGCGCCTGCCGCCGCCCAGCCCGCCCGCCGCTTCGCGCCCGCGGCCGCCTCCAGCAGGGCCGACGCGCAGCCCAGGGGCGCGAGCGCTGCGTCGACGTGCAGCCGTGCGTGCAGCTGCTGGCACGCGACCTTCAGCAGCCGCATGCTGGGGCGCTCGTAGAGCCGCGCCTCGAGCCCCTGGAGCTGCAACAGCCTGCAGGACTGGGCCGCAGGCGCGGCCGCCGCGCCCAGCGTACCGGCCGCGGCGCCAGAGGTGCGGCAGTCCACGGACAGCAGCTGCGCAGAGGCGGCGAGCAGCTGCCGCGGCGGAAGCTGCACCATGAACTGCAGGCAGGACCCCGCGACCTCCAGCGCCGCCGCGGCCTCGGGCGCCGCTTGTACCTCGCTCGCAATCTCGGGCTCGGCCGGCGCTGCGCATCCAAACGGCGCCGCCACCACCAGTGGGGCAGAGTAAGAGGCCCTGAGAGACTGCAGTGCGGCCGCCACGCACGACAGCTTGAAAGCGTTGGGCTTAGGCGCCTTGCGCGGCGGCGGCGCCGCCACACGCCCGTCCCCAGCCGCCTCGGCGTCCGTGGCCGCGGCGGTCGCGCGGGCCGGCTGCAACGCAAACAAGACCGAACAGGCGAGGTTGAGCAGAGGCTCTGAAACGGCGTCGGTCGCCGCCAATACCAAGGTGCCCGCCGCCACTGTCAACTGCAGCGGCACAGCGCCAGGCTGCTCGGCGCAGGCGCCCGCGGCGCCGCCGCCGCGCGCCTCGGGCGCCGGCGG